ATAATCACTGTTCTTGATAAACATGTTTAAGCCAAATAACTGTAGGGTACTCTATTATGATAAAAACATTTGAATTGGTCCAGTAAATTCTAAAGTGGCACTATAAAAAAAATTAATCATTTGGAGTTAAAAATTTTTAGAAAAGAATTTACATTGAGAAATTAATGAGTTTTGGATCACAACAGGTAATATTTAAAGTTAAACCAAAGCAAAATGAGACTTAGAAGCCTAAATCCACCATAAAAAGGCATAATGAACATCCTTATTTTGGGACAGAAATTGAACTGATATAATTTTACTCATAAATCCTAAATTAATTTTAGCAAAGAGGAAAGGCAAATGAATACTTCATAAGGTTGCCTGGTCCTGCTGGGTTTTTCCATGTTTTTGAGCTCTGAATTAGTAGCTGTACTTGGGGAAAAAAAAGGAGTCCCTCTGGAAAACTGCCCTCAAACAAGGTCCTAGGATCAGCACTTCCAATCACTACAGCTTCCTGTGGCTTCAAAACTATAGAATTCTTCTTGGTAGCCAGCGATGTTTGGTCTATTGCTAGACTCAGTGCTAGAGGAGGATGCCAAGCCAGACCGAGAAAGAGATGAAGAAGGCCAAAACCCAGGGCTTGCAAACTTGGAGGGTCTCCATGTGACCATTCTCACATACGATAACAGGTAACTTGCATCATAACTCAATACAAAGGAATGCATTAAAATTTCACTAACATTAAGGGATAATTAGGTTATGTGACAGATATTATACTCTGTAAAGATAAAAGCAACTTAACTCAGAATTATCATCTGATTATAGGCCATACATAGAAAAGGTAAGGAAACATAAAAATAACCACTATTTACTCTGTGAGGCTGCTCCAACTTCAAATGTATTCCAGGAGAGAAAAATAGCGTGGGTCTGTTCCTAATACAATGGTGATTACAGAACAGCAATGACAAAGGTTTCATATATACTGAGAAAGCTTTAGCTCAGAAAACTGAATTTCTGAGGTTCTTTTTTTTTTTCTTTTGGTACTGGGTATTTAACTCAGGGATATTCAACCACTGAGCCACATCCCCAGCCCTATTTTGTATTTTTTTTAGAGACAGGGTCTCACTGAGTTGTCTAGTGCTTTGCCATTGCTGAGGCTGGCTTTGAACTCACATTCCTCCTATCTCAGCCTCCTGAGACACTGGAATTACAGGCATGCACCACCGCACCTGGCTGAGGTCCTTTCTTTAGTTAAAAAAAATCAGATTATAGGACCCCTGAAATTTCTACCTGCTCCAATACTTAATTATGCTTTTTGTTACCTTAAGATACATGTTTATCTTCTCTATTTTAATCTTAACCTTCCCAGTTAATTAAAATGAACATGACAATTTGGTACAGCTCACTCGGTTGTAATCATTTGAAACAACCTTGTGGTTCTTAGAATTTTGTGTCTGAAGCTCTTTGTATAGAAGTTTAAAAAAAAAGTGAAGTAATTATTTATTGGGTGCTTTCTATGTTTAAGAAATGGTGCTATGTTATTCAGTTAAAAATTCTATGAAATTATCAATCTCTGTTTTACAGATTTTACAGTTTACAGAGAAAACTGAGGTTCAGAGAGTTTTCAAAAATTGTATCATTGTTCCAGCTCTCAGACTCATGAAATAAAACTCCTTTGACATGAGTTCCTGAGTTTCTTCTCCATGCAAGTTTTCAAAAGTCCCATAACAGGAACCTTGGTATTCTGTGTTCTGGTCATGATGCTGACACCCAGAAATCTAGGAAACCATTTTGTTCTGTTGAAATTTACATTGATTTCCATCACCACCATTCTAAATTCCACATTCGCTCCTGAATTGACTACAACTTAAAATTTCCGTCTTCGGGTCTGCTTCTTTTCTTAGATGGGAACCCAGGTCCATTAGCCAATAGATCATTAGATAAGGAAGGAAATCAAGGCCCAGATGGAATGCCCAGGATTGAGGTCAGTCACCACTTAGCACTCTAGTTTGCAACTGAGATTCTAATGCATTTCAATTCAGCTTTTAATGGATTTTTATTCTGCATCTACCTTCTGAATCAAAAATGTCCTTTGTCAAGAAACAATTTCACTTTACCTTCAGTTCCTTCTGGCAAAATGGAAGTAGCAGTGATTTGTAAAATCTATGTAATTTCAAGGCAATCAAATACCTTGAAACTTCCACAAAAGCTTGAATTTTAAGAAACTGACAGAAAACATGCTACCAATTATTTTTAATCCAATTGCCTAAGAATTAAATAGAGCTGGGTGCAGTGGCACACACCTGTAATCCTAGAAGCTCAGGAGGCTGGGGCAGGAGGATCATGAGTTCAAAGCCAGCCTCAGCAATGGCGAGGCACTAAGCAACTCAGTGAGATCCTGTCTCTAGATGAAATACAAAATTTTGGGTTGGGGATGTGGCTCAGTAGTTGAGTGCCCCTGGGTTCAATCCCCAGTACCCCCTCAAAAAAGAATTAAATCAAGTTTCTTCAAATATTTCTAATGATGGTTTTTACTGCCAAGATCCAGTCTGCCTCTTGAAAACAAAATGATATGTTTCCCTTTGAAAAACAACATGCACGTAAAAATTAAGACTAGAAAGAATAAAGGAGACAGAGAATGAAATTAGCTAAGTAAATAAATATGGCAACCACAGAAAGTGAATGGTTTAAAAAAATGCACCCCCTCCAAAAAAGAAAAAAATATATATAAAACAAAATCACTTATTTTTAACTATTGATAATAAAGCATTACTAGGCTGGGGTTGTACCTCAATGGTAGAGTATTTGCCTAGCACATGTGAGGCACTGCGTTTGATACTCAGCACCACATAAAAAATAAATAAAATAAAGGCATTATGTTCATCTACAACTAAATATATATATAAAAGAAAAGTAAGCATTATCTCATCCTGATTAGTGCAAATAGGATAAGTTTAGCAGTAAAAAATGGTGGCCACCTTATTAACTTTAGGAGGTGAAGCATCAAAACTGAACTAGAGATTTGTTTCTAGCCCCAAAGCAGGGACTGGATTTACCCTCATGTTCTAAATGACCCCTAAAAGACAAATGTATGAAATCTTGATTTTCAGATAGTGAACAACCTGTAGCAAAGGACAGTGATCTGAGGGAAGGGGAAACAAAAGAGATGAGCCTTGTGATCACATCAGTTTACTGCCTGGGAGGTAATTACCTGACTAAAGCTCAGCGGAGAGGTGGAGGGGAATCCTAGAGCCCAGAGAACAGAGGTCAGACTTCAGAGAAGGCAAGCAACTACAATTTGTGGAGTGGAATACTAGATAGGAAGCAGCAACACAAAAACAGAACTCCAGATATCTGTGCAGGTGCAAGTAACCTGACAGTAGAAATAACATTCATATCTGCGGGTCCTTGCAGATCCACTAGCTAAACTGAGTTTGGATCATTCCCCAAGGATTACAGCCATGCTGACCTCTCCACTTAATGCAGACATCACATGACTCAGATCAACCTCCAACAGTTACCCTGAGTTCAGGCACAGTAAGTGCCTATTCTCCTTCATGGTCTATCCTCTGTGTATCCTAAGTCACTTATACATTCCAGGAAAGTGGACCTGCAGCAGGGGAAGGGAGAGGAAGGAGCACCTGTATGCACATTTGGGTCCAGAAAGGAGCATGTTGAACCCTGGAACGAACTAACACTCTCTCTCTCTCTCTCTCTCTCTCTCTCTCTCTCTCTCTCTCTCTCTCTCTCTCTCTCTCTTGTAGATGGACAGCATGCTTTTATTTATGTGCTTAGTATGCAGTGCTGAGGATCAAACCCAGTGCCTCATGTATGCTAGGCAAGCACTCTACCACTGAGCCACAGCCCAGTCCTTCTGTCCAGTTTCAGAAGGTTTTTTTGGAAGGAAAGTTTCCTAAACATAGACTCTCAAACCAGCATGTTTAAACATATCAAAATAGAGAAAAACAAGGGTTTAAACAGAAAAACAATTTTTTATTATATTCTACCTACATCATTGTTCATCAAATTGAATGTCTTTGAGTTTCAAGGTGACTGTAGATATGGAGGGAAAACCATTTGTACAAATCCATGTTCCTGCTCTGTCATCTCCCCTTTGTCTTTCAACACCAGTTCTTTCCCATGCTTTGCTATTGCATTCTTTCTGTTTCTCAAGGTCCCTTTCTCTCCTCATGCCACCCAAGTCTAAGGTCACAATGATGCTTTCACAAAACATGCTCGAAGAAATGACTCTCCAAGCACAGATAGCAGGAAGTCTGGGGCTCATGCACTTGGATTCAAAGTCTGGCTGAGTCACAAACTGTCTATGTGACATTTTGCGAGTTACTTAAGCTCTCTGTGTCTCAGTTACCTTATTTGTAAAAGGTAAACCTTAATAGCCAGTGCTTTGTAGAGTCACCATGAGGATTAATAAGATAATGCTCTAAAAGCTCTCAGCACAGTGCCTAGCACATAGTAGGCCCTCAATAAATGTTATTTAGCTATTGTTTATTAATGTTTATAAATGTGGTTTAGCTATTGTTATTAATAGTCATCTTTTACTTAGGGTTTTGCTTGATCATTCACCAAGATCATGAACGAAAGAGAATTCTGTACTTTCTTTTTCTGTACTTTCTTTCTTTTCAGAAAGGGAAAAGGGATAGATAGACCTGAGGTTCATGAACTAAAGGGAGAAAGACATGCTATGAAGATGCTAGGATATGAAAAGCTTGAGAAATAAAGCCCTGTTTATTATTTCATCAATTCCTTCTCCCTCCTCAGAAACATGCAGAGAGAAAGCTTGAGCATATTTAAGTCCTCAGGCTCAGAATATGGCCTCACTTCTCTATGAGAAATGCTGCGTTCAGAATCACTGGTGACCAAAATTCAATGGATCCTTTTAAGCCATATCATAATGCAGCACAACATCAGAAGCAGGAAAAAAAATCATGCGACTTATTTTTAACAGGTTGTGGAAATTGTGGAAAAGCTTGTTACACTGAGGATGAAGGAAGCTTACTCACCTGCAGGAGTCTACTTGTCTGATTAAGGTTTGGCCCCTTTGCAAAGCATCAGCTGTGCACTCTTTAATTTCTCTGTGTAATTCCTCATGCCTTGCTGCCAAGACAGGCAGACTTAAACCCTCTGATTTAAGGAGCTTAAGGTAAGCTTCAACTCTTCCAAGTACATCAAATGCCTGCCAAAGAAAACAGACTTTTATTTTCTGCTTTTCTAGTTTAAAATCTACAACCATGTGTACACAAAACACTGGCGATTAAACCGGACCATTCGATTTATTAGTTTAACCATCACCAAAAAACAACTATTGAAGCCTTGGAAAACAGCAGTATAGTTTTAAGCCTCCCTTTAGGAAAACTGATCACAGTTTAGTTCAGCATAAATGAATTTCAACACCAGAAATTACCAAAACAGTTTACCTTGAGAATGTATCTGTACAACACAAACAGTTACAAACTGTGGAATTTGGAGAGTCTAGTTTATATTTTGCACATTTTATACTGGATACAGATAAAGGGTTGAGCTATTTAAAAAATATTAGCTATCCTTTACTGACATAAATTTCTCTGTAACAGTCTTAAAAGGAAGTTTCCTAATAAAGTATACTGTGAACGTGAAACACCATAGGGAAATATGGAGGAAATTACTAATTTTCCTTTTCTCCCTTGCCTGTTCAAAGACCTCAGCCCACTCCCTCCAAACCATACCTCTGCCTAGTGAGGAAATTACAATTTAGTGCTAAAGCAGTGCACAGAGGAGGACCAAGGTACTATTTCTTTTCAGATGTGCAAAATAGAATTACGTATAAAAAGTAGCCTTGAATGCCAAGATATTGTCTTGAGAGAAGACTTTCAAATTCCTTTATTTTCATCCTGCATTAGCAGCCCAACTACCTGGTGCAGGGTATTAAGCTTATAGAATAAACACAGGTTAGAAAGTAGTTATCCATTCACTTTTAAGGTTGACTTGGCATTAAAATAGAGGAGCACATGTCATCAAGGAAATCAGTCTGTGGTAATACAAGGTAAGAACAGGAAGCAGAGTGCAGTGGTCTTCATAGGTCTCCTGATATTCCATCTCTGATGTTCATCTGGAGAGCAGATGAGTTAGGAAAGTCAAAGAAAAGCTGAAGAGCTCTGTTGCCTTGCATTAGGACTGGGAGAAACCACCTTGCATAATGCCCCATGCCATTCTCAAGAACCGTCCTGATAACAGAAAGCGCCCGTAGCTGCACAGTCAGGCCAGGGCTGGGGAATGTGGCCTTCCTGCACTCCTGAGCTGGAAGCCAATGAGCTTGGCAGGGGCCATGGGAATGTAGCAGGAAGACCTCACAGGAGACTCTGGGGAGGATCCCAGACTGTGAGAAATGAGAACAGATGGGTTCATGGGTCTGGTACTACTAAGACCCGAGAGACGCCAGGGGAGGTTCTTGGGAAAGGCAATTAAGCCAAATGTAAAAGCTACATACAGTTGTGGAAGAGTTTAAATGCACCCACGTCCCAACACCTGACTGCTTCTTAGGAAATAAGTCTTAGTGGCAGAATTAGAATTGAAATTTTCCAATGGACACCCTAAAATGCTATATTAACTGGTCTGTGGGTATTCTGTTCTCCCAACCAGAGTCCTCATAGGTCTCAAGTCGGCTCTATTTGCTTAGAGTGTTTAAACAAGCTCATTCCCCTTTATTTAGCAGCTGAGAAGAAGTGACAATGACTCAGTTTAATGAGAATGGACTATGTGCTGCTTCCATACCGTGAGGGACATGTAACTTTTTATTCACTCAGCAAATATTATCGAATGCCTATCCCATTCCAAGTGTATCATCTCTAATACCCCCTGGGAGGGCAAGAAATTATCCCTGTTGGGTGATTGGAAAGATTGGGAAAATCAAGTCTCAGGAAGGTTAAGTAAATTGCACTAAGTCACAGTTCTAAGGGACAGATTTGAGATTTACACCCGATTTGTTTGGCCCTGAGGGTCCTGCTCTTAAACCCTAGGCTATAGCTTCATGTGGCAAAGAGTTATAATAGAAAGCTTAAGAAAGAAGGAGTATTTCAGAAAAAGGCTGTGATCTTGAGTGGAAAAGGTAGGGTTTGGGTTTTTTTAAAAACTTTATTGTATCCTTTTAAAAAAAAAAAAAAACCTTTATTTTATTTATTTTTATGTGGTGCTGAGGATCAAACCCAGTGCCTCACACATGCCAGGCAAGTGCTCTACCACCGAGCTACTTCCAGCTGCAAAGGAAGGGTTTTTCAACTTATTTTTCTAACTAAATGTCTAGTTTTCCTTACTATAGGTGAGGGATACAGAGAAAAGTTAAAAGGTTGATGCAGAGAAAGATAGAGAGAAAGATTTCTTCTACACTATAGGACTATAAAAGAACAAAAGTTGGGTTTTTAGAGGAGATGGGTAGTGGGGATTGAACTCAGGGGCACTCAACCACTGAGCCACATCCACAGCCCTAATTTGTATTTTATTTAGAGACAGGGTCTTAATGAGTTGCTTAGTGCCTCCCCATTGCTGAGGCTGGCTTTTAACAGATGACTCTCCTGCCTCAGCCTTTCCAACCACTGGGATGACAGGTGTCCGCCACCCCGCTTGGCAGAAAGAAAGTGTTTTAAAGGAACTTTGACCCTAAAGAACTCTTTCTTATCTAATACTTCTTCCTTCTTGCAGTTGTCAACAGAGCCAAATGCAACAAGATGCCGACGTCAGAAAAGAAGATGACTTCCTGGATTCTTCCAGTGTTCATTGAAATATCACTTGACATTAACTACTGTTTCTGAAGTTTTGTTTTATATTTTAATTCTTTATTGCTTATTTTGAATACAGCAGAGCCTCTTGTAAATTGAGGATTTATTATAAAGTCAATGCCTGAAGCAAAAATCTGGTGCAATCAAAATGATCCTCTCCCTAAAAAATCACCCTTAGAGTTTAAGATATGTGAATTAGTGATTAAGGTGACACATCTTCACACTGGAATTGAGAAGCCCTGAGTTACATTAAAGGATGACATGTCAGGGTATTCTCTCCTTTCTTCCTTTAAAAAAATTCCCAAGATCTTAGTAAGAACAGGAAAAGGATGGAGAACTCCAAAGTGTTGCTTCTTGCATAGAAGTTGAACTCCATTCTGTTTTTCTATTAAGCCAATATAATCTTAAGACATATCATGTTTGTTGTTGTTTTAAGAATGAAAGAAGAAGGAAATATGAAAGTAACTAGGCATTATGACAGATATGCAATAAATACTCCACAAATATTTGCTGTTTTGCCAAACCTTGATTCATTCATTCAGTGCATATTAAAAAGCCACTGAGGAGGGTGAGGCTGCCTGCTGTGTGTCATTCATCCCAGGGGGCCAGGGGCACTGTTGCCACTCTCATGTCTTCAGGCATTGCTCTCTTCACAGGCCTGAGCACTGAAGCCACAAAGTCATTAAACACATGTGTGATATCACTCTATCCCTGAATGCTATGATAAAAGCATCATTTCCTAATATAATGGAAGTGAAAATGAAGGGCAGAATATTCAACAGGAGGAGATAAATCAGGCTCGGTGGTGTACACCTGTAATCCCAGAGGCTTGGGAGGCTGAGGCAGGAGGATCACAAGCTCAAAGCCAGCCTCAGCAAAAGTGAGGCATTAAGCAACTAAGTAAGACTTTGTCTCTAAATAAAATACAAAATAGGGCTGGGGATGTGGGTCAGTAGTTGAGTGTCCCTATGAGTTCAATCCCCAGTAACTCACCCCCCCCCAAAAAAAAGGGAGGAGATAATTCTATCAAGGACAAAAGTAACTCATAACTTGGAAGAGAAATAGCAAAATTTCCTTTCAGAGCTTTTTTTTAAAAATAGATCCAAGTGTTAGTAAAGCATTGAATTATAAATTGTTCTATGTAGCACACTTAATAAAACTATAGCAGAAAAAGGAAATGAGTGATTTCATTCCTCATTAGCCCAACAAATACATCTGTAGAACACCTGCAGGTGAGGTGGGCAGGATGCTGTAAGAGAACTTATTCCTTAAAGTAAATCTTAATCTAACCCCAAGGGAATAATCTATAGACAGAAATAAAAGCTAAACTTCTTGACTTTAAGAGGAAGTCTCTTTCAAGATTATAATGTGTGTGATTGTCTAAATTATATGCAAAACTCCTTTCTCTCATTCCCATGAAGAATTAGATGAGAAATCCATGTGCTGATTCCAGAAATGATCTAAGTATCATTGCTCTCACTTAATCTACTCCAAAAATAGGACAGAGGGCTTTTTGATTTACCATATCTATAGAGAACATGATAAACTGGATCCAGCCTGGAAAGAATCTCTTGGTTGCACGTACAGTACAGAATGGGTTATTTCTAGAAATGAGAACACTGTGACCCCCACATAAACTCCTTTGGAATTAATGATTCCCCTCTAGTTTTTCTCTTCACAGCTCCCTCTTTCTTTAAACCTTATCCACACAGGTCATATAAAGCTTTTATGACTGGATTGGGGAAAAGGATGTAAGCACAAAGATATTTTCTCCTTCTGAATCCCAGCTCTTCTTGAACATTTCAAATGACACTACTCAGCTCTTAGGCAAGGAAGAGATGGCATGCACTCCTTAGGGCCCTAATTTGGAAAAGACCAAGGAGTTGCTGGGGTTTTGTTCTTTAAGAGGCTAATAAAAACCTTCCCTTTTTCCCTTGTTAAGTACAAGATCCAAGGCAGGCTGCACCACATCAAATAGAGATGATATCAGGACATGGCACATTTTATTCTTTAAAAAAATATCTACAAGACTCATGGTTTAGACAAGAATCACAATTTTTCTAGCATAATTCTTATATCATGTTGCTTCGCAGAGATGTTTAATAAGAAAATTTTAGCTGCTTCACTAATTTGAAAAGAGTCAACATTAAACCACAACAAGACAAAACTATGAACTTTGAAATTAACTCAACTCAGCTTCTTTCTAATCAGAGTGCTTGATTCTTCTACCTATGGAGATCCACATTTCCTCTGGGTTCACTATAGAGACCAAAATTTCATTTTACTTTCTTGAACATGACTGGAGATAACTGCTGGTGGTCCTCAACCTGCCAAGATGATTCTTAATTCAGGTCCTGGCCAGAAAGGCTCAAGCTTTCAAATCCTTGAAGGCTAGGGGCTCTGGGGTGAGGGGTTTCAACGCTAA